AAAAACCGCATATAACCCGCGGGTTATATGGGTGAAAATACGGTATATGTTTTAGCCTCCAATAGAGTCAGGGAGGAAGTGCAGGACCTGGAGGGGGATGCTATGGTCCATGGGGTTGTGAAGAATTTTAGCGGCTGAACAAGTTCTTACATTTAGCGAGTGCGATGGCTGTGATCGACTGTTACAAGCTTCCCTAAAGTAGAGGTAGGTAAGGTAGCACCTGCAGGAATCGGGGTGCCCAAATGCTCCCTTTGAATTTGAATTTGAATTTGAATGGATTTGTATGCCGCCCAATCCCGGAGGACTCTTTGGTCTTTGGTTTTTAATAAAGGATTTGAAAGCAAATTATCAGCCACTGGCATTATAGTTCTGTGCAGAGGTCCGTAAGGGCCCCATTGAAATGGTGACAACATCTAGGAGGCTGTTTTGCCAAAGAGGTCTCTTTATCCAGGGGATGGGGGGGTGGTGTAGAGTCAAGGTGGGCATTTTCTGCATTTTTGACATGCCAAGTCTAGAAGGTTTGCCACCACTGCCCTAGCAGAACGAACTGTTACAAGCAACAATGGCAGGAACAAGAACCCAAATAATTACAGGTAGACTTTGTCTTACAGCCATTCACTTAGTGACCATTCAAACTTTCAATAAGCACTGGAAAAAGTGACACGACCATTTTTATCACTTGCGACCGTTGCAGCGTCGTCGTCCCCCCTGGTCACGTGATCAAAATTAGGACACTTGGCAACTGGCAAGTGTTTATGACGGTTGCAGTCTCCCGGGGTCATGTGATCCCCTTTTGTGACCACCTGATAAGCAAACTCAACGGGGAAACCAGATTCACTTAACAACCGCTTTACTAATTAACAAACAGTGATTCCCTTAACAGCCGTGGCAAGAAAGGTCATAGAATGGGGCAAAACTCACTTAACAAATGTCTCGCTTAGCAATGGAAATTTTGGGCTCAATGCTGGCCATAAGTCTGGGACTCCCTGGCATCAAACAATTGTGCTTATAGAGGAGAGTGAGGTTGATAAGGCTGTCATTAAGGGCCCTTGCCTGGATAGATTTCCTGATGAGCCAATTTTTATATGGCTGTTAGCAAGGGGGGGAGCTGCGAGAAGGAAGCGCTGTGTTCCTTTGTGGTTGCGTGTGGGTGCTGCTGCGCAGCTCAGACATCTTCCTCCACAGTTAACTAAGTGATGTTTTGTTTCCTAGGAGAGTTTGCTTGGCTGCTTGATGCTTTTTGTTCCTTGCTGGAGAATTAATGCAGTCTCCAGATCGCTTGGGCTGCTCAAAGCGACGAGACTTCGTTGTGATTTTTAAAAAAATGCAAATTCTTAAGCAGCTAAGTGTAACGAAGAGGTGATGGTGGGGTCTCCTGGCCCCCTTATCTATCCCTCTCGGTGAAGTAGGGACGCTCCTAAGGATTCAGGATGATGGTTCACCCGTGGTATATAGTTGGCTGCCTCATCCTGCTTGTCAGGATGCTCTCATGTTTTCCTCTGGGAATGAGCTATTCGTGCTTCAGCACTTAGACCTCCTGGAAGCTCCTGCTAAATAGGAAGTGGACCTCTTCCATTTGGCAAACGATAGTAGCCGTTTGGGGCTCTTTGCAACAGATGCTTC